TTTTTTTATTTTTTTTTTTTTTTACATTTTGTTGTTTAAACTATTTGTTTATATTTACCCCCAATTCTGTAAGGGCGAATTTATTGGTCATGCTTTATAATTTCCATAACCCAAATGCCCTTAACACAAAGGAAGACTGTACAAGGATTAATTCTGATGTTGTCATGATAGGTGCCTGTTAGAAGTACAAGGTTTAATTCTGATGTAGTTACAGTAGGTGCCTATCGGAAGTACAAGAGTAAATTCTTATTTTGTTACAGTAGGTACCTATTAGGAGTATAAGGTTTAATTAAAGTCTCTCTTAGGTGAAATACAAAATGTTTTAATCTACCCTTACTAGAGTTTTCCCAACTTTATTTTTACATAAAGTACTAATTCTTTGTAGAAAAAATGAGGGTATATTAGTACTTGGTATTTAGTTGTTGTGTTCTGAATTAAATTACTGTAAAGTTACCAGTGTTGTGACTTGTTTGAGTATCCTTGAAACTGTAAATTAGGGTAAATGGATACATATTTCTGCAGGATTGTTGGTTATATTGGGATAAAATAATGGCTGTTTCTAAATTATCGTGAATAGAAACTTACATTAACTTTGTGTAGTAAAAAGTCAGGATTTATAACTTGTGCTATTACATGTAGAAGCTCCACTTAAGATGAAAGATAAAGAGGCGTTTTAGTCTCACGATGAGAAATGAAACACGTCTGAGGAGATTCTATGACAGAACTTTGTATAAATAGTGTCGGAATAAAGTTTGTTCCACTGTTTTTTACCTTACAGTTCATAACCTCCGAGACCAAGTTTTCTATTCAGTCACTGATATTATCCTTGTCATTTATCACAGGAGTATTAAAATATGTATAAGGTTAAAAAACAAAATCATCAGTTCAAAAGTAACATAAATTCACAAAAAAACATACACGTAAAAAAAGCATAAAAAAAACGTGATGAAGACAGTAAAATAAAGTTAAGCTGACCCCAATGGCTCAGCATTAAGTCTCGAGGCTTATATCACTAAAAACTGGGTTTTGATATACATGGTATGCACAGAACAGATAACCCATTATGTAGCTTTGTGATTAAAAAGAAACCAAACAAAAGCTAAAAGCTTGTGTGTCTAGCACAAACAAAATTAACACAAATTGACCAAAAAACATTTAGGACACTATAGAAAAAAAAACCCTAAAACTTAAACCAAATCTTCTTCTGGACAAAGTGGCCAGAAGAGAGGGACTAGATGTATCCAAAAAGATTTATTTGCTCATTTATGTTGGTCCTTAATTATAATTTTTAGTGTCCAAAATGTTTTAACCACATTGTGTTGTTTCTGGTTTGACTTGAGAATGATTGATTTAATTTTTGTTTTTTTTTGTCTCCACTAACTGGAACCTTTTTTTTTTCAATAATAAGTCAGTTATTTCAATATAATACCCAACTGTTTGTCTAGAATTATTGTATCTACATTTTAATAAATGACAGAAATAGTGTTTTACTCATGAAAACTTGCTTTTTTTACAGTTTATGATTTCCTAAATCTTTGAAATCTTAATGCAAATTAAAATTATTGAAGTTATTTTAAATATCTATCATGATGGAGGGTACAATATTTATAATATGGACTGAAACTTTAAAGTTTGGTAGCATTTCTTACAAACCATTCACTGTTTGGAAATGTTTAAGATAACCTTTGATGATCAAAGGTTAAACTCCACATCACACTTTATCTCCTGCAGAAGCAACAATGGTTTTTAACTTTATCACATACTTTGACTACGAGTAAGAAGGGTAGGTGTAGGTATTTTTTTATTTAACAAAATTTCAATATGTTGTAGTTGTTAATCAAAACAGAATATTCATTAACAAAACATAGATATTTATTTGTAATTTTTCATGATGGTTATAAAAAAGATATGAATGGAAATTGATGCAAGGATTTTGAGATGTAGAACAAGTGAGAGCAGATTTTTATCAGAAACTGATAGTTCACGAAGTTATTATTATCTCACACAGCTGTAAATATAGTTGTGCTCGGTATTTAAGTTTCGGAGTATATTCAAGACATAATAACAATGTTGAACCAATGTTCACATATTTTGACAAAAGCAGTTGAGAAAGTGACAAGGAGTTACTCAGAAGTAGCATGTTCCGAGGATATGGGTAAGTTCTATACTTGTAACTGTTTAATCAAGAAATCTGTACTTCTGTAATACACTAAGCCCATCTGTGTCAGCCAAGCTCTTATTGTTGTTCCTGTACTTTAGTTTTATACACTTCTGTAATCCACTAAGCCCATCTGTGTCAGTCAAGCTATTATTGTTGTTCCTGTACATTAGTTTTATACACTTCTGTAATCCACTAAGCCCATCTGTGTCAGCCAAGCTCTTATTGTTGTTCCTGTACATTAGTTTTATACACTTCTGTAATACACTAAGCCCATCTGTGTCAGCCAAGCTATTATTATTGTTGTTCCTGTACATTAGTTTTATACACTAAGCCCATCTGTGTCAGCCAAGCTATTATTATTGTTGTTCCTGTACATTAGTTTTATACACTAAGCCTATATGTGTCAGCCAAGCTATTATTAT